GCCTCCTCTCTCACCAGTGTGTGTGAACCAAACAAACGCAAAATTTGGACATTTATTGGATTCAAAATACCACAAAAGCAGTTAGTTTCAATCGTAAAACATATTAATGCCTTCAATGACCACTTTTGCCCTTTGTTGGGTGATTTGTTTTATTTATTGGAAAGTTATTAGTCTCTTTCTGAGTTTTTAACAGCATATAACAGGGGTGTTGACCTGTGGTCTCTGCTGAGACTCTCTGGACCATTTCAGCTCAACCCTTCATGTTATTTTCATGTTGGAGGGTCCAAACCTGCTGGTCTGATGTCTTCAATCAGAATAAAAATCTCATTTTTTATCAGAGTCCTTAACCACAACCATTCAGCATCAAACTCACGTTTTGTTCTCGTTAAACTGCGTTTTTCTAAATGTAAACAAGTTGTTTACATTAAAAAATACGTATTATCTACTTATATCCTTCCTCAAAGCTCATATACCTGCAGATACATTTCTACTTCTGGCAGAATGAGACTCAAATAATCTGTTTTTACTGATTGATCAACCTAACCATAATAAAAACTCAATGGCTGTGTGAATTGTAATCTTTTCTTTTTATATTATTCTGTCAATTTGAACAGTTTCTCTGAGTTGCTTCATTCTGGCAGCAGCATCATTTCCGGTGTTAGAACATTTGTTGTACAGATACATGGGGATAATGGCTGTTGAATAATGTTGGTTACTATTACTGAGACTTAACCCAGGGCTTTCAAACAACTAATAGATTTTTAACTTAAATGTTCTTTTGATTGCCTTTTGATTGACCTGTTCATCTGAACCCAGAATACTCCTTATTAAATAACAGGAAATGAAAAACTGACCAAATGGGCCACACAAATAAAAGAAAAAATGGGTACCACCATTAAATGTCAAACATCTGTAATGTTTTCTACAGGATAAATTAGCCAAAAGTTCTCAGATGCAAAACATTACACAGAAACTGTGTGTATTAGATGTTTTACATATGACAATTTGGGGTCAAAAATCCTGCTCAAAAGTTTTAAGGATGAGATTCATCTGGTACAATCAATGTGAATTTATGTTGATTTCTTCCAAATGTAACACTTTGACAATGTTAAATAACATATTCTCTGGTCTAGAGAGATAAATAAACTCATACTGTCTGCCAGCTGCCTAATTTCCAAACAATAAAATGGGGAAATGAAATGAGAAAACAGAATGTGAGATAGAGGAAATAGGGATAAAGAGGGACCTGGATGAGGAAAAAAAGAGACGGAAAAAAGCTGAAGGTGATATTAGATTTTTGGACCATCGAGTCAGAGATGAGCTGGGACAAAAAATTGAGGATAACAAAAAAGATGGAGGACTCTAGGGGTAATAGAACGATGATGAGGATGAAGGATCCTCAGTCACTCACAGATGAGCCACATCCAGAAATGAGGTGAAATCTATTGAGTGAATGGGTGCAGAACACACTGTCCCATTGATTTGTTCCCGATCAATATCCCTGAAAAGCAAAGGAAATAGTAGAAAAGCCTGTTTTACGTCCCTCTTACCAAAAGCAACCTCTCTATTTACCTTAAGTAATTCATTTGTGTTGCATTTGGGTGTTAAATGTTTCTTGTTGGCAGATCCAGCTGACAGAACTCACAGGCTCTCATTATTAAGCCATATCGTTTTAATTTTAATTAGAAAATCGGTCTCATTTGAATCGGGCTGTTTTGGTCGAACGAGAGTAACCTAGTCCAACAGCCTCAGTGAACACTAATAAGGGAAAAATGGCATTGATTAAAGACAATGACTGATAAAACGTGGAGAAAATAATGTGTTCAAAAGACTGATTAAATATGAATAGCGGAGAGCTATTTTTTTCATTGAAAAAATCACGAGGCACACCACCAACCAAAAATGTCAAACAAATCTGTAGCCGATTATAGTAACACTATAGTTATTCTTATTTTATCTTAAGTGTCTTGAATAGGAATCAAATTAACACAAAAATGTATATTTATCATATTTTATATTTCTTCTTTCAAATTGCTCTTAACATGTCCACTTCAATATATAAAATTATATTCAAAATCTAGTCATAATGAATTATTACATGATTACTCCACCAGTCACTAGTACAGCACAGACACTCAAAAATTATTTGCAGATAATTAATTCCTTATCAAAAAATCTTTTTACACCAATTACGTGAAATTGGATGATTTTCTACGGCACACCTGACCATCACTAACGGCAGTGGTTGAAAAACACTGCAGTACCGGTAAAGGTTTTTTTGAATAGCATTTTTTAATTTAGAAAAGCTCTTTAAAATGATCCTTTTTTTGTTGATCTTCTCATTAAATACATGACTAGTCTGATTGAGTGTAAAGATATAAGTCTGGGGTAAATTCCCTAAAATATAGGAATAAAAGTATGAAAAATGTCTTAAATAAATCAATTCCAGAAAGAAAATGACCAGTGTTTTTCAACTCAGCATTTTATGCTAACATCAGTGGATGTGTTTCTTCTGCATTTGTCATATAAATTTACCTCTTTTTGTCTATTGCTTACATTAATTAAAAGACTAAAGACAAATACAGAAATAACATAAATAACATAAAAACAACATAAAATATGATCAAGTATTGATTTTAATCTGTATTGAGAGCATTTCCTGAAGAGTGCAGGAGGTTAAAAGCATAAAAATATCATAAAGACAAAAGCACGACCATAAAATATAGGAATGCTTGTAATAAGATCATCGCTACTGATTCTGTTGCATCATCCAGAGGAACCAAAGCAAATGTCAACACGTGCACACGGGCAGTGATTCGTATCGACTCACTCAGCTGCTGATAGGTCAGATCTTATTAATGAAGACAGCATTTTCTGATCATGTCAGTGTGTTGACATGATCAGAGGTGGTTTACAAAGGTTTGGCTCAGTTCGATAGAATAAACAAAGTGTGATACAATCTTCTCTTGTTTTATTGTTGAACTCGTGTTTAGTTGGTGTTTTTTGTTCCGTTTTAGGTGCTCAAACTGTTTCTGTTTTCTGACATAATAAGTAATAATTACTTGACAAAAATAAAATTCCACAGAAACATTTCAGACAGTTTTCTTCCCCAAAAATGAACATTGGAGAGGTTTGCGAGCCTCAAAACTATGTGCTAATAACTTCCTTTTTCAATAAATTTACTTTAGAAAGTGGATTTAGCTGCCTCTGAGAACCTGAGACTGAGATCCCAGACTTCCTAACTTTGTTTTTCCAACCCCGGATCACACACTTTACAGTCTCCTGGCTTTTTGTGGCCTTTCGATGGCACCTGAGGCCTTTTCGACATGATGACAAATCCATGTACGTGTGCAGGGCTCACACAGAGATGCACTTCTCCGTCTCCAGTGTTGCTTTGATCTGTGTGCTGCCTCTGTGTTGTTTTCCAGCGTTTCCAGCAAGTAACTGTACACTCATCATGTGCGAACATGAGAAGTAGGCCTGTTAACAAGACTCACAGGGGACCTATATTTCTGCTGTCCTGTTGCCATGTCAATAAGGTGGATTTGGAACACAAACTGGCGAAAAAAACACGTTACAGTGTAAGCAAGCCTTGAGTAAATGGATAACTCGGGAATAAATTGGATGAGGACAAAAAAAAAAATTCTGGCAGCGGTGGGATTCGAACCCACGCCTCCGAAGAGACTGGAGCCTTGATCGCCAGCTGCCGCTGAATCGTCCGGGGAAATGTTGAACAATGTTGGAGAATGTTGGAATATGGGCCAATCGCGGGCCTCCCTTTCCAACATTCTCCGCCAATCATTCTCGATCCCTCAACATTCCCCGCCAATCAATCTCCCTCCCCTTCCAAAATGTCGCCCTTTTGACCAATCAGCTCCGAGAAATATTCGAGGCGGTTACTCTTAACTGTGCGCTGTTATTGTCTGCAGTTTCATACCTTTCGTTGTTTGATACGTGAAAATGGTGAGTATTCAGACATAAATAACAGTGGTATATGATGTCCGCTAATGTGTAAAAACAACTTTTCTTCGTGTGTCATGTTGTCATTGCGATATTATTCAGCTAGCATCTGTGGCCCTTTTACCTGACTGGGAATTCGACTAATTCAGTAGTTTTGGACGTTAACGTATTTCAACAGTGCCCTCTCACATAAGCATATATATTGTGTATATCAAATCTGTCGAATTAAGATGTTTTCCCGATTTATTCATTCATTCATTCAGTGGTGGAACTTTCCGTCGTTGGCCCCAGCCTTACGCGAGCATTGTTCTTTGTTTTTCAGTCGACATGTTTACGGTTTCATTGCATAGATTTCACTACGTAATTTACCGTGTATTTTGCTGTAATTAGGTTTTCTCTATTCTATGGATTTATTTAGTTATTGGAAAAGGCTTTATTTGATATGCCAACCTAAACTTAACATCAACAGAGACTTTAAAAAGTACAATAGTTGACCTGTTGTTGTATAGTATAACCCAATAGTATTAGTGTATGAGCCTATAAGTGTAATGTAAATCAGTTGTTGTAGTTGCTAAATCATCTTCTAACATATTGCTATAAGATGGGGTCATTGTGTAAATGGTGTTGTAGGGGAATGTTAAACTTTCATTTAAGTTCTTTGTAAGCCTATAAATGTTAATTGGATGATTTATGCAGAAAAATGTTAAAATGCAATAAGCCTGTTAGTTACAGTCATGTTACCACAAATTTTTTAATACCTGCCAACAAAGGCAACATCACACAAGGCAATGCCGGACACTGTCTGGATGGCACGCCTCAGAAGATTTGCCAGTACGGGGACATGGCCAGAGGGAAATAGGCCAGCACCCAGGCAGAAGAAGTGGCACCAGCTATATCAGAAGGTATGGGTTTATTTATCAGTTATTACTACAAATGCAACACAGTTGTGATATTGAAATTAGGCTGTTTTAACTACAGGCATAACACGCCTGAATGAAATGCATTCAATCATGATAAAACCTTTGTTTTTAGATTGAAAAATGTCCAGTGCAGTCTGGTACCCAGTCACTCTTTGGTGGTGTGAGGAGGTGTACCTGTGGCTTCCACATAGTGAAGGTAAAGTGGAGATAGCCTAGGTTTTTCAGGTACTAAGTATATACTATAAATGTATGTAACTGACCCAATATGTATCAATTTTGTCATGGAATAGCAATCACCTTCAACACCACAGGCCTCCTCTGTGGGTCCTGCTTCCTCTGTGGGTCCTGCTCAGGGTCCACCTCTCACCACTGCTCAGAGGACACCAGGGCCTCCTGCCTCTCCTGCTCAGAGGACACCAGGGCCTCCTGCCTCTCCTGCTCAGAGGACACCAGGGCCTCCTGCCTCTCCTGGTCAGGAGCCTGTAAGGAGCACTGAAAGCTCCAAGCTAAGACAACTACTCAACTTGTCAATGGTATAAGTGAAATGTTTGAGACATATACATTGCATTTTGAATTGCCTTGTGAAACAGGCCTTTGCTTATAAGCGTATTGCCTTTCAGTTTACCAAGACAAGATTTGGTGGAGCTCATGTGGCAGCAGCCAAGCCAAATATTGCAGTGGCCAGGAGACTGACTCTGGTAAATTTGGATGAAGTAGTAACTATAGAAAAGATGGCTGTGTTTACATTAACATTTATTAATTTAGCAGACGTTTTTATGCACAGCTACTTACAAAAAGAGGGTTTAACATTGAACTACAATGCAAACAATTGACTACAAATGACTAAAGACTTGTTTTACAGCCACAAGGCACAGAGGGCCAGTCTTCTCCAGCCAGCACTCCCACATCAGTTGTGCCAGTGCCACAGCCAGTGTCAGCTGCTTCTGTGTCTGTAAGTAATATAAAATGTTGTCTAACTAGCTTAACTTCAGCAGTGTATCTCCCAAATACAAAATATGATTATACAGTATTTTGTCTGCTTATCCAAAGGCTGACTGTGGGCCATCCCAGCTTCTGTGCCCTCCCTCAACCCCTCAGCTGCCACGTTTGTGGGCAGAGGCCTTACCAGAGGAAGACCATAGATGGGTGGTCAAAAAGTTGTTCAGGACCGGGGCCAAAGGCAAACTGGAGCTACAGGACAACTTGAAGTTGTGGTACTTCCCACCTCAGCCAAACCCCGTGTACCACCAGGTGCCTTCACCAGACCGCTTCTTTGCACACCCACTATTGGTCTGGATGCCCTACAGACTATGGAAGGTGAAGTTGGTCTGTCCAAACCCTTCTTGTGGTGGGCATCAATTGACAGGGGCAGGGCTGCACAAGAGGGCACGGCGAGTCCTGGATGTGGACCGCATTTATAATATGGTCACAGAAACACTGCTGTGCGGGAAATGCAAAGCCTCGCACGTCTCCTGGAGCCAAGTAGTCCTCCAACAGCTGGACTTGGCTCACAGGTCAGAATTTCGGGTCATCCTGACTCAAAAGTGAGTAGTGTCTCTTTTTTCTCTTTTGCTGTGTGCCATTTAACAGACATATTGAATTAAGGACATATTTGTCTTCAACCAAGATACGCCTGTGATGTCCGCGTGATCCGGTTCCTGCGCGAGAGGGGTCTGGGTAACAGCCCAACCCGGGTCCTGAAACAGCTGAGGGAGAACCACACAGAGGAGTGGCTGCATCGTGTGGGTCGTTACGCCACAGAATGTGAGTCCTTCATCGAGCGCCCTGGGCTGTTACCTGTTGTTTTCCCTGAGCCCCCAGGACCAGCAATCGTACCCAGCTGTAAGTGGCTACTGTCGGTGTACAGCCAGGACATTTTGACCAGGCTGGAGGACACCAAGGCCCACATCACATCAATCCACGGAACCATTCTCAAAATGGACTCCACAAAAAAGGTTGAGTCATTTTGATTTATTCAAAGTAGACTACTATTATTTTTGATTTACCAAAGTTTATTCTCATTATTCTCAGTCATATTCAGTGATGCGTTTTGTGTTTGTGTTCTCTGCGCTTCAGATCACAAAGAAGCTGGCTGGGACAGCAAAGGGCACCGGTCTCTGGCTCACATCTGTGGGCAATGAATATGGCCAGATTTTAATCAGTGTCCTAACCGCTCAGGAGGGAGCGGGACTGGACAAGATGGCCGATGGCCTTGTGAAGAGGTACGCACAGGCGGGAGTGGATCCCCCTGTTGTCCTGTATGTGGACTGTGGCTGCTGTACGGAGGCAGCAAAGACGACTAAGCTGCAGGCCAGATTCAGCGGGTGGCCAGACCTTCTGGTAAGGCTGGACATCTGGCACTTCATGCGCCGGCTCGCCCTGGGATGCACCACAGATGCACATCAGCTGTACCCACTTTTTATGTCACGCCTCTCAACGTGCATTTTTGAGTGGGATGCAGCGGATTTGGCACTGCTGCGTGAAGCAAAGGCCCAGCAGCTTCAGGCCCAGGGTCTTTCTTCAGTGGATGTGCACAGACACCTATCCAGGGAGGAGTTGGCTCTCCACTGCAGACGGAGGACGCGGGGAGAGGAAACAACTGTCGGGCTGTTGGAGGAGTTGTTGTCCTATCTGATGGGGTCCCATGGCAACGACTCCCTTGGAGTTCCTCTGTTTGACCAGGAGAGGATGGAGCACATCTGGCAGGTTCAGAAGAAACACGTGAAGTGTATCCAAGACCCACCAGGTGTTGCTCTTTACACCAAAACTGGGGAGCTGACCAAGGGAGGTGTGCGGCTGCAGGTCTTGAGATGTGCCAGAGGCTCCACTTCGCTGGAGTCTTTTCATCTCCACCTGAACCGCTTCATACCAGGTTTGTTACTAGGAGTCATGTTGGTTCATGATTCATGTTTATGCTTACAATGATTAATTGTTTGATATTTTATATTACAATGTCAATGTACTTTCAGGAACCAGTGCCAACAGCCTGAATTTTCAGCTGTACCTTTTAGAGGGGCTACATAGGTGGAACCAGGACAGGCGTGTTGCTGCCCTGGCTACTGAGCTAGCCTCCCTGTGCTGCTACTCTGGGGAGCTGTTGCACTCTGTCAACCGCTCTTACGAGCGGGTTTTTGGCAGAAAAGTGGCACCAGAGTTCTGTCCACCCTCACGGTACACAGGTAAGAACTACATCATGGTAACTATGCCTATTGAGACTAGTACGAGACTGCATCTGTGATTTTAAAGGACTGATTTTTATAAATGATTACACGTGCAGTTACTGTTAATGTATTGTGTGATCCCGTGATACATAAACCCCCTTTGAACACCATTAGGTTTTAGGCATTGCCCGTTGCATTGTGGTCATTTATTTTTCTTCTCTCAGGTGAGCTCATAGGGATGCAGTATCTGTACCGGCAGACTGGTCAGGCATTGCAGGACATGAATCCTGACACAGAGGAGACTGCCCAGCTGGTTGAGGAGCATGATGTGGCGGCAGATGAGGGTGAAGATGAGGGATTTTCGGACATCATCCATGACCCCACAGTTCACTTGGATCAGCAGGACCATGGAACGTCATCCTCCATGCCGGTCCAAGACACCTGCTCCTCCACCGTGGTCCGAGACACCACCTCGACGTTGCTGCAGCAGACGTCCTCCTCACTGGCCTGTGACACCATCTCCTCGATGCCGGCTCCTGTGGCTGAGGCTGAGGATGAAATGATGGTAAGTACTAGTTACTACACGTAATTTATTTAAACTAAGGCAACAATCATCCTTGCTGTAATGTAAGTGTTTAAATTTTCAAATATTCTATTTTGTTCCAATTAATTTCAACAGGCTGTTGATGACCAGAATGTTCCTGGATACCAGCATGTTGACAGACTTGCTGAGTATTTGGTTGGCCTCCGTGAGATGACATCCCTCTGCCTCAGCAATCAGCAGGCAAGCCAGATCATTGAGCTGTGGAACAAGCTTGATGAGGGAGACAAGAGGCGCGTCATCTATGCAGCACGGCACCAGGAAAGACTTTTGAGTGGTCGCTTCAGAGTACCCAAGCGGCCCTCAAATACACCTGGTGTGGAGAGCACAATCCGCTGTGTGCTGGGTGCAAGTAGTGCACCAGCTCAGTGGCCTGACTGTTGCAGGCTGGTGGAGAACATTTTCATCAGGCTCTGTGTTCTTTATCCCAGCCCTAGGAGAAAAGGCAAGGGGGCAGAGTCAAGGTGGACTCTCATTCTGAGGGACTACCGCAAGATCAGGCAACTTGTTGTTGGTAATGCCCGGGTGATGCAGGGGACAGACATCCAACTGGTGGAGGTTAATCAAAACACCCTCATTCAGTGGCATAATAGCAGGCAGAAGAAGCAGGAGCTCTCCATTCTGCTTCAAGGCACTGCCTTACCTCCAGTGGCTCCGGTGTCAGAGGAGCCTCTTCCAGAGCCAAGGGCGCTTCCTGCTGAACCTCCCACAGCGCAGCAGGAACATCATTACAGGCTGCCGGAGAATACTGCAGGTCAAGCCAAGCGGAGAGAGACACCCCGCCCCATTGCACCTAAAGGCACTGTGAAAAGGCAGCTGTTGGTTGCTCAGCCAACAGCCACAGCAGTCCCAGCAGTCCCAGCAGTCCCAGCAGTCCCAGCAGTCCCAGCAGTCCCTGCAGCACCCATCTTCCCGCCCCAGCTGATGACACAGACAGGACAGCCAGTAGTACTGTACCAGTATGTCTTGCCTGAGACAGCTGGTGCAAAACCCAAGAGGCCATACAGAAGGACTGTCGAGGCAAACTCTTGCAAAAAATGTGGCCAGTTCCGCACGGCAGAGACTGGACACAGTCAGTTTAGGGGGAGAGTGTACTGCCCGAATTTCGAGGCAGTCACTAAACAGCAGTGGCTGGAGGACATGAGGAAGATGTTCCCAAAATAAAGACACTTCATATTTGTAAATAGTTGTACATTTTTATATCATTTAAGTTCTTAATTAAAGCCTATATTTATGCTGTGTGTTCAGTTTGTATGAATAATGTGTTTTTATTAAATATTTTAAACTTTTCTCTTGCTCACTTTTTATTTTTTGCCACCACTAAACATGCCTTGTGTACAATTGCCTGCTTATATTAAGCTATTATATTGAAAATACTTATATTAAGTTAGTGTTTATTTACAATCACAGACAGTTATGCATTTCCTTCACCTTGAACGCACCACTTAATAGAGTCGTTCACCTTGAACGCACCACCTCCTAGAGTCGCCGGTTCGAATCCCGGTCTGGTCTTTCAAAATTACCATAAGTTTAAAAACTGCTCTTTCCTGAGCTAATAAATCAATGAAAGTGAGTGACAAGGCCGTATGTTTACGGTTCTCTCTTCTTTTCTCTCTTTTTTCCTTTTTTTCTCCTTCCCCCCTCCTTTTTCTTCTCCCCCCTTCTCCCCCTTTCTTCCCCATCTAATATGGCCGATTGTTCCCCAGCTTGATCGCAGCGCCTTAGACCGCTCGG